TTTTTTTTTTTTTTTTTTTTTTTTTTTTTTTTTTTTAAGGAAAACAGCAGTGTAGACAAGACGACCCTAGGAGATAACTGATGGAGTAATGGAATAAATAATGATAAATAAAACTCTCTTCCTTTGACTTGTTCCAATCAGCTGTCTTATTCTCTACCTACCATTCTCCAAGGGGGTGTTTTGTAGGAATTTTTATGTGAAAATGTATTTTTGAATAGTAAATTGATGAGAAATGTGTGATTGAAAAATAAGAAAATTTTTTTTATTTACATGTAATATTATTTTAATAAAGAATGTGTGGTTGAAAAGAAGAGAGAGAAAAATGTATTTTGATGGAAATGGGTGCCAAACAGGGCCCAACTTCATACTCATTCTTATTAACAAGCCAACCTTTTGAATCAATGATATAGCCGTAGGCTGACTTGTCAAATGAAACTTCCAGACAATTTAGCAATAAAGAATATAGCTAATCTTTTTTATTTCTTTTAAAAGTCATATTTTATATTGCATCACTTTTTCCTCATCCACCAGACAGCACTTTATAGGTTCCAAAGAAGAAATGACTCACTGCGTGCCTGAAAACCTCCCTAGACCCCAAGTGTACAAAGGACTACATGGTTTCGAATCCGGCAAAGCTTGATACATGTGACACCAGTACTAATTTTTAGGACTTCAGTTAATTTTCAAAAATAAAAAATAAAAAATTTGAAAAATTCTTGAGTGAGTTAGTTGAGTATTGTGCGACCAAGTCACGCTGATCTCACGAGTGGAACCCACCTTTACAACTCTAAAACGAAGGAATATTCAACAAACTTGACTATATAGGCTAAAATAAGACAAGAAATGTGATTGGAAGAGGACAAGGACTTGAACTTTCAATAGTCTACTCTTCCCTACGCGTTTCATTTGAGATGACAGACTTGAATTTTTAATATTTTCCTCTTACAGAATATTAAAATAGTAGAAATAATTATTTGGATCGAGTCGACCTACCTTCTTTAACTCTACATGGACCAGAAATACTAAACAAATTTGACTAATAAGCGAACAAGAAATGTGATTGGGAGAGGGTAAAGACTTGAATTTTAAATAGGCATCTCTTCATGTGCATTTTCTTCGGCATATTAAATTAGTAGAAATGATTCTTTTAGCAAATTAGGCATATCTTTTACCAATTAAAGGTAAAAAAACGAGGGTGCTCACTCGACAAAACATAAATAAATTTGAGCCAAAAGTTCTCGAGTCAAGATAAATTTGCCCACTTTATTACTTGTACGCTACACATGCACTTGATTTACACATTTTTTAACGAATAAGTTGATGTCATTTTTATAAGTTTAGTTATCGAAATTCAATCTTCTCAAAGTTCAGTGAGCAATCGAAGACGTTTTTCAAAATTTAGTGAGTAATGAAAGACACTTTCTTACGTGGCGATTTGGTAATGACATGATGGGATGCCACATGTGCATTCCATCAACCATGTCACGAATTACGTTATACGTTTTAAATAGATGTTATGCAAGTGAGCAACATCCAACATTTGGATAACTAAACTAAAAGTCGATACTTTGAACTTCAATAAGCAATCAAAGACACATGCATAAGTTCCATGATTATTGGGACAATTTACAACAAAAACGTGATTATGGAAGCAATTGCCAAGAGCCCAGATGTGGCGTGTCATAAAGGTTGAGTACTGCTTACGACCAAATGTGGAATTCATTTCTTTTATAAGCTAAGTACCGATCTTGTAAGGAAATGCCAGAAAATAAAATCATTTAAAGATCAAGAGATTTGAATTGTACTGTCCCTTCAATATAATATTTACCAACGAGAAGGCAATGGCATTTGAGGTAGTTAGGTTTACTGCCCTCCAAAAATAACAAATTAGAATACTACCCCAAAAACTAATTAAATTTCTTCCTTCCTAAGTAATATGCTTAAACACCCCAAACCCCAAAATCATAGTGATAAGTGTGTTTCTGCACATTTATTTAGGTCACAAACATGATTGAATAATGAGCAAAATGATTGAATTATGACTTAATCTCGTTACATTTGTGAATTGTAGGAAATAACGATGAACACGCTGAAATTCAGGAAAAAGACGCGAAAAAAGGACTAAAATGATGCAAAGTGAAAGTTTAGGGACCAAGGTGCAATTATCCAAAAGTTTACCCGATGAACAAATCAAGAAATGAATTAAGCTAATTACCAATTGATGATATCTTGGATAATAGAATGGAAAGAATGAAGAAAGGATGCCAAGAAGTGAAGGATTCAAGGCCCTATATAAACAAAAACTTGACCAGAACGAAGGGGATGCTGTTTTTACAAGTTTTTGAGAGATTTTGAAGGAGAAACGAAGAGAGAACAAGAGGACAACATCGCGCCAAGTGAAGATTGGATTGAAGATTGATTCGGGTGATGACATTTCTTCAAATGTTTTTATGTTTTCTTCTTTTTAACATGTTAGGCTAGATTTATCATTGCTAGGAGATCGATAAACCTTGTAATACTACGTTTGATTTTTGATTTAGATATTTGACATCTTTAAACGCATATTCCGGAATTGAATGATTTATTACGTTTTTGTTTCCATATGATTATTGTACACGTAATTATGTGATTGTGATGGCCTGTTTTATGCATTCGAAAGAAGGAAAATAGGTTCGATATAGTATAAATCATCATAGGGTCCGATAGGGGATAGAAATATACATCTATGCCTTGAGTGAATTATTGGATATTCATGGATTTATAATGCATTTCGATATGTTAGTATTCGTCATAGAAATATAGTCGAATCATATATTGGGATAGGTTAGGCATTGCTCGAGAGAGATTGTTAAATTAAAATAGGAATATTGATTCATCTTTTGTGGAATTGGGTGTCAAATTTGCATGATTGAAAATTGAACGGGTATTGCTTGGGAATTCGTGATTCTAGTACGTTAGTAAATTCATTAATTCATAAATTCGAGTTAAATTGCATCCAAGTTATTTTGTATTTAATATAATTTTTCATTCATAATTGCATCAAAGTTTACATCTTTTTAGTTAAAGTACAAAACATCAAATTTACTTTCGTGTTTCGGTTAAGGTCATAATAGGTTGATTTGAACTAATTCAATCCTTGTGGGATTGATA